TAGGGATCCTGTGACATTCAAATCAGCGTCTGCTTATGCTACGTTACCAACGTTACACGCATATAAAAAATTCTCTTTGTCGTTTCAATTTAAAACTACAGAGGAGTCTGGTTTAGTTTTGTTTAATTCGGGTCAAGGTCAGGATTTTTTCTGTATCGAACTTCACGGAGGATATTTATATTATATCTACAATATGGGAGCAGGAGCGCAGCGAATCATGATCAACTCGAAAGATAAGCTCAACAATAATAAATGGCACGAAGTTCGTCTGCTACGTCCAGAACTACACAAACAGCTGATCCGAATCGACGATAACACCCCAACAGTTGATAATCTAGGAGGTTCACAAGCTTTACATTTTGATTTAGAGGGTTCGTTATTTGTTGGTGGCGTCAGGAAAACGATGTATCATTCGTTACCGAAGATTATCACGTCCCGTCATGGCTTTCTGGGATGTCTAGGCTCGCTAGATTTAAATGGATATCTTCCTAATTTGGTAAAAGAAGCAGACACAATACATCAGTCTATTGTTGAAGGTTGTAAAGGTAAGAGCATTTTGTTTTAAAAAAAACCTGTAATATTTTATTGAAAATTGTAAAATTATTGGAAATTCAAGTTTCTAATTTGTTTTAGGCGCTGTTTTGAAAAAAGTCTTCATTGGAAAAAACACAGAAATTCTTGAAATTTGAACCAGAAAGAACCATTCTATAAGAAATTGTTATAAATTTTCAGCTTTTAAACCATGTATTTTCACAGATTTTTAATTCAGCTTTCGATTTACAAGAGATGCGTTAAAGGTCTTCATAAGACTAGACTCAATCCTCATTGAAACTAAATTCTTCAGATTTTCAAGCCAGGCATCTAATTACCAAAGGTGCCATTTTTGAAACTTCGGGAAACGAAACGAAGCCAGATAGGACATTGCTCAGATCAGTCATTAGGACTCAGACAACAAATATTTTCAGTTTGATTAATAAGATAACCATGAAATTTGCCATAGCATGCAGAAAATCATCATCTGTGATCAAAATCATTAACGTACAGCTGAAATTAGAAAAGTTGCAGTTTGTTGATTAAATATCCATCATTGATTAGACCCTAGTGAAATATATTGTGTCATGATGTAAATAATTTAACAGGGAAATGTTATGACTCAATCTAGATTGCACAG